AAAAAAAAAAAAAAAGGGCCGATTATCAGAAGAATATAATTTTTGATACTTTGGAAATTTTTAATAAAATTTACCGAAATATAAATTCTCGTCTCCATCGATTTACTTAATGTATTATAATAAAATATAAGTACGATAATAAAAGAGAAATTAAATAATGTTTTCCAATAGTAATATTTCTAAAAACCAAAAAAAAAACACGATAAAAGCAACAAACACAATTCCTTCCACTGGATCGTTATAAAAATTTGTCGTTTCCCAAATTGTTCCATTAATCTGTCACGTTCGCTTTATCAGAAACTACAAATCGTACGAGGAAAATCTGGTCAATAAATTATGATTAGCCGTTATAGACACGTAGACGCTGCGCAATAGGCCGGAATTGTGCGAATAGTCGCAGCGGTCGTTTGCACGGGGTTGGGATACCACCACCGGGAGTCGTCGGCCGCCAAATCTCGTCGTATTCGGGCCAATTCAAAATTGAAAGTGCAGGCGCACGTAGCAGCCCTTGCGAGAGGCGTGTGTGTGTGTGTGTGTATATATACATTTCACAATAGCGGATGCATTTATCACGAGCAGAAAACTGCACGGCTCTCGGTCGTGCTGGAAACTCCATAAATTCCCCGCCGTTGGCGAGGAAAATGGAGGAGGGTTGGCGGGCATCGGTAAGGAGGAGAAGGAGAAAGAAGAGAGAAGAAGCGAGGGAGAATCGACATGTCGGAAATCTATTTCTGGGGAAAGAAAAGCCGGGCAAACTGTTACGCGATTAAATCGCGAGCTGCCAGTAGAGACCCTTGAAATTCACGTCGATCGTTCGCCTTCGATTTAAAGCGGCCGAATCTCGCCGACAGAGACGTCTCCGTCACGGTTCTTCTTCTTCTTCGCCCGGTTTTCCCTTGTTCGGCAAAAAAACGCGTTAACGAGGGACTGATCTCTCGTCGGAGAAGTAAAAAGGTTTACGTGACTTTAAAGTTTATGACCAGTCACATAGACAAAAAGCGAGCGGTGACTTTTTTTCGGATCAGTGCTCGTGACAGTTCAATGGGGTCTTAATATTCACAATCTACACGTGCGCGTATTTTTTTTTAATAAAATAAAAATAGAGCTGGGGTAAAAAATATATCTTTAGTTTTTATAAAACTAAATTTATCGTGATAATTCAGAAAAATATAATAATCGAAAAATTTTATATTGTTCTAATATTCTATATTAAAAATAACCTACGTTATCCTTTTCTGCCCTATCAAATATTATAATATACATTACATAATAATAATTTTATTATACCATTTACATATAATTTTGCGTAGTAATTCTGAGATTTATTTTTCATATACTTTCACATGTATAAAATAATCGCGAAATATGTAAGTAATGTTGGACAGAAAGTCAAGTCTTCGAATGAGTTTTAATCTTTATCTCTCTCATGTACTACATGTAAATTTTGTACTATTCTTCATATAGACTTACATTTTTCTCTTTTCCATTAGAAACCCTCTACGTCCGACGAAAAATTCGGAAATAAAACTAGATGCCCTTGTAAGTAAAGTGCACCTAGTATTTACGACGTCATAGCGTCGTCCATTATCCGGAGCACCTACTGCGTTCCATTAGTCCCCGTGTAACTAACTTCTTCAGCTTCCAAGGGATTTCAC